CATCATTACATGTCGGTCAGGGAGGCCGAGCAAAGGACGTTTTACTTTCCGTGAATTCTTGTTTCAGATGCTTCACACGAGGACGTGTGAAATGTCAAGATGGCCGTGTCGCAGAATCAACAAAGAGGCTCAATTGATTAGTTTCTACTAGAATAGCGCCATCTATTATCGTTGTTGGAAACGTCAAGCGGTTTGCTTGGGTGAGGTCGGTACAGGGTAAAGCAGTTTTAACGGCAATTACGAAACGGCACTTTTGAATTGGGGGCGAGCGCGAGAGGTTGTTCTGCACTCTGTACCGAACTTGCCGCGTTTCCCTGACTAATCCGTTTGCATCTGGCTGATCGTTGTTAAATTTATTATTTTGTTATCGGGAGTGAGTTAATAGACTATTATACTTTAAATCAAGACTATTATTTCGTGCCTACACCATGCCCAACATGGGTTCTGATGACGAGGTATCCCAAATAGAGGAACTACCCTCGTTATATATATATATAAAAAAAATAACCAACTTAAGCTGCGAAAAAGAGAATATAATCATAATAATAGTCTTTATTTGTCACAAACAGAAACATTTTACACAATACAACTATTGCCCATACAATAATATAATTTAAAAACTAATGAATGAGACAAAACGGTCTATAACTCAGTGAGGGCAGTGAGTCCACCCTCTCTGCTATTCTGTTATAGCCTTTATCAGTAAAATACAATGTGAGATCGACAACAACGATAGCATATTAAGTTTTATATACTACATAATGATTTATTAACGGCCTCAGTCGTCTAGTCGTTTAGCACACCTTACTTCCGATGGTCGCGGGTTCGATTCCTCGCACTTCACAAACATTTGTATTCATGAATATGATCAGTCTGGCTGTAATGTACGTATTTACAAAAAAAATATCTGTGTATTTGTATCAATTAAACTATTAGAGAACTCGTTGTCCAATTTATCTTTGAAATACGAATCAGCTAAGAATGAAATACATGAATATTCTGATCAGTTGGATAATTTAATAAAATTAGGTAACTACAACATGGAGCGGTTTGTTTCTCTTACGGATAGATGTCACGGTAATTCACCAGAGTCTGATAACTATATCCAACCGTCCCACCATAATCAGTTGAACATTGATATCTCATCCGTCACGGAGCCAGACGTTTCATGTTTACCCACACGAAACAGTACAAAAGTAAATAAATGCAGCACTGTACATGAAACCATCAGGAGAACAATTATTTATTCAGATGAATTTGGCAAGGATTTAGGTAGTTTATTATCGAACTGCCTCTCGCAACAAGTAATAAATAATTGTTTTCCGGGATCAGGTATATATAAGATTATAAAAAATATAGTAAATGAAAAATATGATATTCACACGACCCTAGTAATAGCGTTAGGGAATTGTTTGCATATGCGTAAATCTGATATAGTTAATTTAATAAAATCATTATATAATATAGTGGAGCTTGGTATAGGTAAAATATTATTATGTGCATTTCCCTACTCTCAATCCCTGACTAATGAACAGAATAAGTTCATTTATAGTATAAATAATTTAATTTATTCGATGACATATCATTGTAATGATATATTTTATTTTGAAAGTAACAAATTTGTTACAAATTATTATATGACGGGAGGTAATTTTTATCTTCCTAAAAAACAAAAAAAGACTATTGCTAGTTTACTAGCGTATAACATTTATGATCCCATTATAAGTAGTATAACGGATTTAATTAGTAATATTAGTAATTATACTAATAATGTGACATGTGTTAATTTAAACTAACATCTACGACATTGGTTAAGCCACAGGATATGGTCATTATTCATCAAAATATTCGTGGCTTCTCCAGCAAAGAATTAGAATTAAGTCTTTTCTTAGAATCTAACAATGTACGGGTGTTATGTCTGACAGAACATTGGCTTAAACAATATGAAATAATTTGTCCTTTTGAACATTATAATATAGCTAGTTTTTTTGCTAGGAACAATGCCATTCATGGCGGGTCAATTATTATTTTAAAAAATGATGTAGAATATAAAAACCGTCAAGACATTGTAAATATTTCTATTGAGCAAACAATTGAACTATCTTGCGTAGAATTAGTTACTTGTATAATAATTTGCGTTTATCGTCCGCCATCGGCTTGTTTTGATTCTTTTGAACTGGCTATGGAGGAAGCATTGAGACGAGTCGCACGGCGGAATAAAACATTATTTGTATGTGGCGATTTTAATGTTGATTTATTATCGGAATGCTCAATAAGCTTAAGATTGATTAACTTATTTAAATCATTTAATTTGCACAATCTTTTTTTAGAACCCACTAGGGTCGCAGGAAATTCTGCCACTTGTATAGATAATGTTTTTTGTAATTGTGAAGTAAAGGTGAAAATGAATTTCGACTGTCTTGGATCTGATCATTACGGACAAAAAGTTATAATTGAAACTAAGGGATCCAAAGGGACTCAAACAATTACATGCAGACAAATAACACAAAAGAATTTGGCACGTTTTAAAAATAAAATTGAACATAAAATATCTAGTGTCATAGTACCTCAATATGACCCGGACATTGTATGTGAACATATTTTTAATTTAATTGAACATGAAGCTAGCAGTGAATTTAAAACAAAAACATTTTCAACTAGTGTAAAATCAAAGTTTTGTGACTGGGCCACGTTTGGTATTTATAAGTCTAGGGCTAATCTTTACGAACTTTACGAAAAACGAAGCTATATATCCGATCCCTTATTTCATGAACATGTAAAATCTTATTCGAAAATATTTAAAAAGGTTTGTCATACAGCTAAGTCTCTCTATTTAGGTAAAATAATAACTAAATCTAAAGATAAAATAAAAGCCACTTGGAAAGTAATAAATAGCGAAACTGGAAAAGTTAATTTTCAAAATAGCAAAATAGCTTTAAATATTAATAACAAATTGGTAAATTCCGACACAGAGGTCGCGCATACATTCGAATCTTATTTTACTAATATTCCATTAATTACGACACAGGCTCTAAAATCTTCCCCGTCTGCTGCTGAAACTTTACTAACAGACAATGTTAGCAAGTCATCAGCTGTATTTAACTTTAGACATACATCATCAGTAGAAATAATGAAAATATTCAAACAGCTTAATAATAAAAAAACAGAGGATCTATGGGGTATATCTGTTAAAATACTGGATAGTATAATGGAAATTATTGCGCCCTCTCTTGCTTTTATTTTCAATAAATGTATAGATGAAGGTAAATTTCCTAACATAATGAAAATTAGTAAAATCATACCGCTTTTTAAATCTGGAGATAGGAGTGACCCAATAAATTATAGACCTATATCTATACTCCCAGCACTCAGTAAAATTTTTGAAAAAATAATCCTTATGCAACTTGTCAGTTATTTCAATTTAAATAATTTAATCCACAATAGTCAATTCGGTTTTTCCAAAGGTCGTTCAACTACAGACGCAGGTGCAGAGTTGCTTAGACACGTATTTGCTGCATGGGAAACTAAAATGGATGCGATAGGTGTTTTTTGTGACCTTTCTAAGGCTTTTGATTGCGTTGATCATAATACATTGCTAAAAAAACTTGCTTTTTATGGCGTCAAAGACAATGCTTTAAATTTAATAAAATCTTATCTATCTGATAGAATACAGAAAGTGAAGGTTAGCAACGCTACGTCTGACGGGTCACTTGTGCAAATGGGTGTACCTCAAGGATCTATTCTCGGTCCATTTTTATTCCTAGTTTACATTAATGATCTCCCATATGCCATGCAGGATAGATGCGGCATAGTATTATTTGCAGACGATACTTCATTGATTTTTAAAGTTAATAGAATGACTAATAATTATGACGATGTAAATAGTGCTGGTTTACAACTGGTTTACAACTAACAATCTTATGTTAAACGCTAAAAAAACAAAATGTGTTAATTTCTCTCTGTCTAAAAGTTTTAATACTAATTGCAATATTAAATTAAATGACGAATCTCTCGAATTTATAGAATCTACTGTCTTTCTAGGAATCACACTAGATAATAAAACACAATGGGGTGCACAAATTCAAAGCCTTGCAGCGAAACTAAGTTCAGCAGCTTTTGCCGTGCGTAAGGTTAGACAGTACACTGATACTGATACTGCTAGATTAGTCTATTTTAGTTATTTTCATAGTTTACTCTCTTATGGAATATTACTATGGGGAAAAGCGGCAGATATTAAAAATATATTCATATTACAAAAACGTGCCGTTCGAGCGATCTACTGTATGAAGAGTCGTGACTCATTAAGAGAGAAATTCAAAGAGGCAAATATTCTCACCGTTGCTTCTCAATTTATATATTCAAATATCCTATATGTTCATAAAAATCTTGACTTATTTCCAAAAAACAGCAATATTCATAATATTAATACTAGATTTAAAGACAAACTTGCTGTCCCCAAGTATCGTTTAGAAAAAGTTAATAGGTCTTTTATGGGAATAGGTATAAAAATTTACAATAAGATACCAAAGGATATGTTGGAATTACCCTTAAATAAATTCAAAACATCTGTTAAATCATATTTACTGAGCAAAGCCTATTACTCACTAAACGATTACTTGAATGACGAGTGTGCATGGCAATAGTTGTTCATGCACTGAATTTTCATTTAATGTTAGACATAGACACCTATATAAATATACATTGTAAATAAACTGGCTTTAAAAAAAAAAGTAATTCAATTGAGTTTCTTGCCAGTTCTTCTCAATTGGATCTATATACCGAACTGGACGGTAGGGAAAAAAATAAAATTATAATGTAAAAATTTGACGTTCATAAGCGGCTAAAATGTCCTACATGAATAAATGATTTTTGAATTTGAATTTGAATTTGAATTATCTAGTACCCATAACACACGCTTTAGGTAGCTTAACTTGGGTCTAGATGGCGCTGTGTGAATTGTCCTGAGATTATTATTATTATAACTCTATTATTGTTAACAGGCGCAGCCGGGATCGAGTAACCCACGCGCAACCACTGATGTTATGTCGACCATGGTAAGTATAGAAAACTTATTCTTTACTAGCTGTACACGCGATCTCGTCCGCTTGAAATTTAATTTAATTTTTCTAAAATAAAAATAGCCTAAGTCTGCCAAAAAAGTCCCGTCAAAATCGGTCCAGCCATTTCAGAGATAAGTCAGAACAAACAGACAGAATTGTTACAAAAATATTTTGGTGTATATACCGTATTTAAATTCATATGCATGTAGTAAAAAACGGTTATTTCAATATTACAAAAAGATACTCCAGTTTTATTTAGATTTTGATTTCTGACTAATTTACTCTTTTCCTATTTTTATTTCTTTGTCCACCCAAAGGTAGTCTGGAAGAGGTTTTCTGTATCAGTTTATTTTCTATTGTATTTTTTTTGTTCTGTAATTGACGCAATAAAGAGTATAAATAAAAATAATAATATATTAAATAGAACTAAACATACAATAAATAGAAAGAAAGAAAATATTTATTCAGTGCTATTCAATAATATTACAATATAAAAAACAAACAAACGAAAAAAAAAGATTATATAAAATGTATATATAATTAAACTTAATTTACCATGTAGATAATTAAAAATAAACATAAAATAATCATTTTTTACATCCATATAGGCACTGAAATGGTTCCACTCAGCTTTATTGTATGTCCTATGTGAACATTTAGTGGCACCAAAACGTGGAAAAATATATATATATACGTAAAAAAGGGGAAGAGAGAGGGCACTATTTAAAATATTAATGATAATAATTAAAACAATATTAATAGAACGTATCCTAGAATAGCCTTGCCATTCTAATAGCATGATATTAAATATTTTCCAGGTGGAAGACAACATTACTGATCCAACTCGACCGGTGATGAGGAGGCTGGACCAGTTGCTGATGATGTGCAATGGCATGATGAGAGACAAAAACCGCGAAATAATTACATTAAGGGAACAAGTTTGTATCTTGGAGAAAAGGAACGCAAGATTGAAACAGTCAGTCGCTCAATTGAAACTGCGAATAAAGAGTCGTAAGAATACCCCAGAACAAGATCAAGACACTTCGACGGACAACATAGAACAGCAGAGTAATAGTGAGACAGAGACAAATGTAAGAAAAAGGCAAAAAAGTAAAATTAGTGAAGATGATAACTCAGAAGGTGCAAGTACTAATCAACGAAGCACAAGACCAAGAAGATTAGCTAATACGATCAAATATGCAGAAGATGTATCAGATTCGAATGATGAAACCGTACCTCGTAAAAAGACAAAACGGCAACAAAAAGTTCATAAAAAGGGATCGAAAACCCCAGAAAAAACCACAAAGGATCTCAATATAAGAATAAAAACAGAAGTAGATGCAGGAGATTCAACTTCTACAAATGCTGAAGAATTGACAAGTAAAAATATTAAAGAGAAAAGACAAGTTGTTAATGAGAGTATTCAAATAAAAACAGAAATACAAGATCCTGAAGATTCTGAAACAAATGTAGAAATTTCTAGAACTGCTACTCAAGTATTGCCAATTAATAATATGGATGTCGAACATAACGAAGGCTTTGCAAGCAAGAATATAAGCACTATAGTTGTACCTGTAACATTTGATGAGAATATACGAATTAAAACCGAAGTTATAGAAGAAGATGATAATCCTGAGTCACATGCTGCACCTACTACTAAAGATACACCAATATTTATTAATTCATCACAGATAAAAACAGAAGTTGAGGAGAATGAAGCAGAAGAAGAAGAAGAAGATGACATAAGGTACGCAGTAGGAATGAGATAATGGGTAAGATAATGCAAACAAGAATATAAATGCGTTAAATGTACCAGCATGATTTGAAGAAGATTAAGAATTAAAACACCAGCGTAATGTACCAACGAAAAAATGAAGAAGTTGAGGAAAGAGGAGAAACAAGAAGTGGTATAGAAAGGAAGGAATAAGTTGGAGAATGCAAGGTTAATGTATCAGTGACATTAGAAGAAAATATACATATTAAAACAGAATTTGTGGAAGGAGATAGTTCTGAGATATTTACCGTAACTAATGCAAAAGATGCAACCATATTTAATTTGTCACGGACAAGAAAAGAAGTTGGACTAAACGAGAAAGACAATGAATCAAGAAATGCGGTTTAAATAATACATAGAAATAGCAATGCTAATAACAATCAAAATATTTTTATTCATGTAGATCTATTACAGATTCTTATGATATGTCAAATCTACCGTCAGTTCGTAATGATTTCGAGATGAGAACAACTGACAAGAAACTCAGCTCGTAATCTTGTCAAATAAATGTTGTATATGATTACAATAATAAAGATTCATTTTTAAATTCAAATTTGGGAGAATAGAGTGGCCATCAGTATATGTTACAGCAATTTTGTAAAAATCAAATAGTTTAATGTGTTCGTAACCCGAACAGACCAGTCCCCACAAACAGCACCCGTTCTCGAGTATGACGAATGAACTGACACACACGACAGAGAACACTTTCAACAAGTATAAACTTTATAGCGAACATGACTACCTCAAGTATATAGATTCAATATATATAGTATACCAGTAGTATTTGATCAAGACTATATCTACATACTTTCCTTAGAAACCATCGTAGTCAATTCCTGGGGAATTCATCATGATGAGCTATCCGATCAGTTCATGTTCATCTTATCATCCTCCGGCCTCTGACGGCCTTGGTGATCAATCACGTCACTTCGTGATCGCGAGTTCGATTCCTCGCACAGTACAAAGGTTTGTATCAGTCTGGGTGTTATCGATATATGTATATCGGTGTATAGCTTTTATATCAGTAGTCTAGTACCTATAATACAAGCTCTGGACTAGATGGCGCTGTGTGAATAGTCCTAGTTTATTATAATCCTCCACTGGTGGCCAGTCAGTCTGTATAGTTAGCGCAGGCAGTTGCAACATTCCCGTATACATACAAAAAATTATAGAGGGAAGGATATTGTTATATATAAGTATTAGTGGCTTCAATACTAATATCAATTTACAGTTTCTGAAAATCATTAATAAATCGTAGCGATCTGTTTAAATCTTTACTAGCTGTTACTCGCGACTTTGTCTGCGTTTTTACTCTATTCAAATAAATAAGGTTACTAAAACAAAGTAGCCTAAATTACTCCTTATAACATTAGCCATCTGCGAGTGAAAGACCCGTCGAAATCGGCCAAGCCATTTCACTGATTCGCAAGGACAAACATAGGCAATTTTTTTTTAATTAATTTTTCTATGTAAGTACTGTATATACTTTTATATATATTTAGTGAATAGTAGTTAATTTGAAATTACAAATGGACACTTCAATGTTATTTATTTGTTTATATTGGTGTCGGCGATTGCTATTAGCGTGGAAGTGATCATCCATCATAATGATCATTATCATCCACATGCGTAATATATCCAACAAAATATTATTCTAATTATAGGATATATTTAAAAATAAATACAATATTAACAAAGCTTTTGTTTTATTATCCAGGGCCGTGAAACTGTCACTGTATGAATTGTATTTTATCTAAAACAAGTTTCATTCAGAATTTTAACGGAGATATTTTTTTCGTATTACTCCAATGCAACAGCTGGCCTTTACAGCTTCATCGCATGATAGGGGCGAGTGAAGATGGCACTCCAAACTAAATAAAGGACTTATGTAGCGGCTGAAGCTCGACTCTTGCCTGGATACGACTTTAGTGTGAGGGCACCGCTAGGGGTTCCAACCTCTCAGGCAGTCTTGATTTCGATTCCCGTTTGAATTGGACGGGGCATTGATTGGAGGGGATGGAGAAACATACATTTTTCGCTATTTATATAGGAGGCAGTTATCCATAAATTACTAATTTAACGCCCCCTCAGGCTTATTAAAATAAACCGTGTTCTAGTCATAAAAAAATATATTGACAATTTTTTTTGTGGATGATAATGGAATGGTGCACCCGCCTGCGCTAACGGTTTACGCTGGCGGGGCACCAGTGGAGGATGATAAGATGAGAGTGAGGTCAGGCCAGTTAGCCCATCGTGACAAATTCACCAGGAATTTAACACGATGGTTTCCAGGGGGAACCGCGTGGAGGTCGACATGACATGGTACATTGCTAGCAATGGGGTTATCAATCCACATTACTAACAATCTCCTTCCTCCTATATTGACAATTATATATATATATATATATATATGTATATTACATATCCCTCTCACACTCCATACTTATCCGATTGCAAATGAGACAACTGCAGCTACATCCTGAGAATAGCAGAAATAGTGATTCCCGTTTTCTCCTTAAAATTGAACGGATTTTATTTTTGAGTATAATACAATATCATTGGTTAGGGGAAGAACTTTGTATTAAAAAACCCATGTTTCCTCAAGAATACCGCAGAAACTGGCCAGCTATTGATCAAGTTTATATGACACCCTTCGTGAAGTAAAGCTCTCAAAAATATAACTATTTAAATCAGTTCAAGGAGATACGAAAAAATATACAGTCAGATTGTTAACTTCACTATGCTATGGATAACATTTATATGGACACTAATATTTACTAATGGATATTAAATAACTGCTTTTAAAAAAATTATTATTTAACAATCTCAATTTCGATTCACGTAGAAAAAAGGAGATAAGAAAAAAATATGCAGTCGAATTATTACTTTACCATTTCTGGAGTCGGTTGAAAATAAAACTACAACATAAAGTGAACATTCTAATAATATATTCTGCCTTCAAGAGTATATTTACATAATGATCGTACGAAACAATCTCCGCGGTATAACCTAGGCAAATTAAAAATAAACCTTACACACTATGCGACAAATAAAAATGCACTTCCAAATTAAAATGGCAATATGGACTTAAAAGTAATTGTCAATAGGGTACAATTTTATTATAACTTGATTGTAAGAGCTCTCAAGATTCGTAATGTTTATTTTATTAGGTAATGATGTTGTAGATGAAAACCTAATAGCTAGTTACTGCATTGTTTATGACAGCTATATTTGAATGACTAGATAGTTTCCGAACGTTCCATTTCGAAATTCAAATATCAAACCTTTTTTAAAAATGGCGCCATGCCAAACGATTATTGAAATCGGCTACATAATTTGTTTTATTTCTAATTTATGTCAAAAAATAATGAACAGTGTTACTAGATACAACTGAAAATCCTTATATATTTCTACAAAATTTATAACTTTGTTAGGTCGGTTTAAGATTTGAATACATATATATCGATTAGGAATTTAAATGACTGCTATAACTGTTGCTAGATTACAAAATAGGATAAAATGTTTTGACATTTTATCTTATTTTGTAATCTAGCAACACTGATCATAACACCACACTTACTATAATTTGGCAATTCGTCAAAAACCTTGAGAGCTTTACAATCATTTCCAAAATTCGCCGTAAATTTTCCAACTAAAACATTAATAATACATTTGTTTGACACATTATAACATTGTCTTTTACATTGTACTTTTTATTGCAACCGTTTCAGCATTCGATAATACACCTTAATATATTTAGACAAAAAGTTTAAAACCAAATGCGAGATATATAAATACAAATAGAAGCTAAAAAGATAAATCTTCAAACACGCTAAACTGCAGGCATAGACAGGAAATAACTCATCGTTGTTTTGCATCTCTTTCTATCAGTTACACTTCTTTGATTATTATTATTAATTATCGTGCATGTATAAATATAAATCGTGTATATAAGAAAATACGGTCCATTTTTATGTAAACCATTACAGAAAAATGCTCTTTATTTATGCTTATTACAAAATGTTTCACGACACAAATACTTTATGTGGGGCCAGTAGTAAATTATGTCACATTTCACATTTCACTAATTCCCCGTGACTTTAACATTCAAAATGAAATGTTTCGTTACGACCTAGATTTCCTGATTTTACATAAACTTTGTGACAATGTCACACTTTATCGGGAAGTGTGACATTGTCACAAATTTTATGTAAAATCAGGCCATCTTAATGCAAATAAATCAACCCTTAATGTATGACATAATTTACGGAGGGCCCATTCTGAATAAACTACATAAATAAACAATGTCATGATCATAATACATAATGAGACGTTGCATTTGAAGTATAAATAATGTATTGCTTATTTAAACCGTTCCGGACGGATCCAGAATTCTAGTTCGAAAATTAATGGCGCCATTTTGAATTGACACATTGTAAACAAAATGGCCGAAAAATTGTAATCGTATTTTATTCGTAATTTTAGTGAACTACTGAAATGAATAAAACTGCTTTTTTATTACAATTACAGTCAATAAATATGTTGATTAATTAGATAAATATTTACGCCGTAATTCTTTTTTATGATCAACTTTTTAAAGTAAATAAAATGACAAATAAACGTACCGCGTCCATCACGTTATCATGTCACACTCGTGATATACATGCTTTACCATTACTGCGGACTAGATCTATATAATACCTCCGTAATTAATTCCATACTATGATTATTACTTTCATTGTCACGTACAAATGCGGGGTAAAATATAATTAAAAAAAATTAGCCATTTTGTTTACAATTCGAGAATTTTGTAATTGCTACTCTAAACGGGCACCGATAAACTTCTAAAAAAACTTGGTGGTTTACTAAATAAGATGTTTGCGGAAGTTATTTTCACTAGTTAATGGATTAGTATTAATTTGCTGTTACTACTTACCATGACGTAGCATAGCAACTTACCATTCCAGTTAAAAAACACCTCGGTCAATGGTAGCGGAAACTAGCATTGATACTGATACATAAACTAAAAAATATTGGTACCCACGGAACGAGATCATATTAAATTTTAATTTTTGTTTAATTATATTTATCGATATTGCCCTGTTATTAGATTACATATTGCAAAACTGTGCACTTTATAAAGTTGGTGTTTTCAAATGAAAATGTTCTTACACATTAATAAAATAATAATAAAATCTCAGTTCCGTGTAATTTAGGCCACAGATAAATAATAAAAAAAAAGCATACGGAATTTCTGATTTGTCTTTTTTATTAAAAAACCGCATGACAATTCGTTTGTACAAAATTACAGAAAGGCCGCATCCATACCACACACTGGCAGCGTTAATGCCGAGATGTTTAAAACCAAATGGAGTTTGTATCGTAACTAAAATTGAAACTAATCAACATTGAAGACGATCCTTAATTCTCGCCATTAACCCCATTTCATTCTCCGTTGCACGCAATTTAATTCTCATAACTGATGTCTTTATATTCTCGCCATTCCACATCAATAAATTCTCGCCACCGAATGCAATTTAATTCTCATAATTGAAGCATTTAAATTCTTGCTGTTACACAATACTTAATTCTCATTATCGATGCCACTTAATGAGAATTCTCATTATTGGCCCTATAATTTTCTTTCTCTTTCTAAGTTGTAGTGTGAGTGAGACAGAGGACATCTCGAAGTATGAGAATTAATATTCACTTCAATCAAACAGTAGATACTCAATTTGGTATCGAACCTCTCGCCATTACTGCCTGCAAGGAGTTGCAGTTATGAAAACGTTTCGTTGAAATTATCGCATAGACTAGATGCACGCTTTGAAAAAAAAAATACATATTGATTACAAAACTAAAAGAAAAGGGCATCTGCGTGCCCAGAAGGGGAAGGTTTGTGAAGCAAGGGAGAAGCCGTCCCTGCCTAAAAATTATCTGGTTTATAAAATGTTCTGTATTAACTTTAAAAAATTCGAAAAAAAGCCGTAACGGGGCATGGTTTTAACTTGCCCTGACACTGAAAGAAGCTTTTCTAGCAAAATGGGACCGCAGAGTCATAATTTAAATATTATTTTTAATCCAAAACAACATAATCTTATTCAATTAAATTCAGTCTTGCTATATATAATTCAAACTGATTAGAACGAGACGACTATATATAAATGTATACAATAAAAGAGAGACAGCATGCTTACACAACCACGCTGCAACTCCCAGCGTTCACAGATATAAAAATCAGAAAAAAAAACACCTAATCTATGACGTCACTAAACGTCCACTAAAAAAAATATCAACGCCTGATAAACAGTGTTCGAATACACAACTTAAGATATATAAATTTGTTAGCGAAAAAAAAAAGTATGGTCTTTTGAATTGGCTTCTTAAAAAAAAACTTAATAGTGAAGACATCAATTCAAAAAGCCATTTTTTTTTTTCTATAATATAAAAAATACGGTGGATGTCTCACGCGTCACAGACTTAAGGGTCGATTCTGAGATGGCATTCTCTACATTTTTTATTTAAAACTGAAATTTTAATTTGATACTTAAAGTGAAAATAGTGGGCTATGGATACACATAACAAACTAAATATAATCCAGTGTTGGTTTTTATTCATAGGTTTTTAACGTGTTAAATAATTTCCTTTCTGTTCTAGTCGGCATTATAGAATAATATTTACCGGTTTATTTCTACTAATATTATTAAATACAAAAGATTTTATTGTATGTTCCCGCGCTCTTCTCATAGTCATGATATTGAATATCATGACTATGAGAAGAGCGTAGGAGAGGCAATTAAAAACAAATTAAGTACAATTCTTAAAAGCATTTATAATATTAACACCCGTGGACAATTCACATAACGCCATCTAGTCCTAATGTAAGCAGAGCTTGTGACAATCAACGTATATAAATACTTAGATTTTTGCACATAGAAAACACCTAAACCGATACAAACAATCATACTCATGAATACAAACGTTTGTACCGTGCGAGGAATCGAACTCGCAGTAGTAATTAAAGCGGTGTGCACAACTGCTAAAATATCAAAATTAAAATTTAACTTTTAGATATAAAATTTAGAGAACAACATTTCAGAATAGGACCCCGTTATAGCCGAAGAACATATGCATATAAAGCGGTCCATACACGACCAAATATCTCTCATACACGTCACGGTAAAATCGTGCATGTTAATTGTAATGTGTGTAACTTCTAAAGCATCCTGACGAACAGATTGTTAGACTCTAACCTTTGTTAAAATAGAAAATACGCAGTCGAATGCATATTACAAATATAATACATCGATCATGTTACCAATTATTAGGATATTCTACTGTTCAAGCTATTTTACTTAACAACCTTCACGCCAGGTCGGTTATTGGGTAGACAGTAGGCTGAAAACTGAGTGATACTGACTTTAACGAGGTCTCCAATGTAGATCTCTATTTACCTCGTAAGGGGGCGCACCTATACAACATAAAAAAATTTACATTTTTTACCCCCGTATCACTGACCATCCCTAGTATACGTAATCTCCTTCCCTGCTCGAGGGGGATTTTTATTATATCAATAAGGGTTATAACCCAAATTGCCAGGGGGGAAAGGGGATTGATTGTAATGTGGATTGATAACCCCATTGCTAGCAATGTACAATGTCAGGTCGACCTCCACGCGGTTCCCCTTGGAAACCATCGCAACAAATTCCTGGTGAGCTTGTCACGATGGGCTAACTGACCTGACCTCATGCTCATCTTATCATCTTCCACTGGTGACCCGCCGGGTCCACCATTCCATTATCATCCAAAAAAAAAAAAACCCAAATTGCCATTTTCAACACCCTCCTTTTGACCCCCCGACTGGGTTACGTAGTATGAGTACGTGCCCTGCGTTGTGGTATTTTGGAAACCCCATTGCACCCGCCTATTGCTACGTATTACGGGTACATTTTCTAAGAGCCATGGCGTGAAGATATATAAAGGTCTAAGCAAAATAGTGCTCAATAACTCAGGGTTCCGACAAAACCATTAGTAAACTCTTTATTTGGGGCGGAAGAGGATTGTTACTAATCTCATTTCTAAATATGTTAGACATATTTATTTTTATATATTGAACATATGTATACACTATTTAATCGCTGTTCGAGCTATAGAAAAATATTCGACAAAATTGTTGCCAGTTCTTCTCTACTGAAGTAGCTAGACGAACTGGCCATTACACATTAGGGTTAGAAATAAAAAAAATGTAGCTGGCAAAAAAAAAAATTGTTAACGCATCCTACGTTAAAAAAATTTTTTTTGCTAGTTTTAACACTAAAATATAGATTTTGAAACTTATAACTCCCATACTTTGTCACACTATGTCACACTATCGATCCCCTCCTCGCCCCATGTGTGACGTAACTATACACCCCTATTTAACCCATGAATATATCGAGCACTATTTTCTTTAAACCTTAAGTATATATAAAACTATTTTGTAAATATATTTGTACGTTAGTTTATGTATTCTTGTTACATATTTATTGCTTTGAAATATTTTTTACCATGTATCTGGAATGGCAAAAAACTGACGACCAACAGGCGGTTGGTAAATGGTAACCGTCACAAGTACAGTCTACTACAGACTGAACTACGGCCATCACGTCATCATGTGACCGTCGTGGATGACATGATGACGTGATGCACGCAGATTCATGTGTTGCCATTCGGGAGGACTACGATATCATGCCTCTTACATTGTACTATTACTAATAAAAACAGCTTGAGAAAACAATGGTAATAATTACCTTAAATTTATTTAGAAACCTCTTTGTACTACCAAACACGTAGAATATTAAATTTATTCAATAACACGCAATATTCTATTCTTAGATAAATTTTAAGAGGAAGAACTGGTAGTTAAAAACGTTACTATGTACTAAGAAGCCATACATAGGTTACGTCACGCGAATTTTATGATTTTCTAACAACTCCCCACTTGTCACAGTTGGTCACATTTGAGGGACTCCCTTCTGACTAGTGACGTCACATACTTTACAATTTTACTCTAGTAAACCGAGCGTAAACTCATCAACAAATATTTACAAAACCTTGTTTATGAATACGAATTTGGCAATATTATTAAATTTCTCGTTAAAAGTTATGTATTTAAATACATGTATGTATATATTTTGAAATGTAACGTCACATAAGGACCCCTTCCATCCCTTGTCACACTATGTCACACTTTATCGACTCCCTTTCCCTAAACGTGTGACGTAAATTATGTATGCCCCCGAATAGATAGCATGCTTAATAAACTGCACTAAATAAAAAATACAAACATTGGAAAATCAGTCTTAAAATTACAACTTTAAAGTTGATTTCACAATATTAGTAATGTTGAATTAATGCAGTTTGCAATTCAACGGAAACCGTATAGCTTCGACTACAAATTTAGCGATTGGTGTCTTATCCCTTTCTATCAAATGGAAAATGCATTTAGTAAGAAAGGGACTTAATATATTGATACCTAAAGAGTTTAAAAGACGTTTGATATTTTTGTAAATATTACGGTTAGTCTATAATTTTATGTAGTGTCAATCGTAAAAGGTATACCAGGCGTAAAAGCCATGTAAAATAATCGAAAATACCCCTTTCACCGAAAAATAAAGTGTTAATCTTTCAATAACTATACTTTTCATACATAAATCATGTGGCGGCGATTTGTATATCTAGGTTTTCTAAATTATTAGTTGATTTAGACGCTTACCGCATTGTTTTTCACGTTATTATTTCCTGTATAGCATCACCCTTATCTAATAGGGGCATAGAAAATAGCCTATGAACTACCAAATATACCTACACAATAAGAAATCAGAAAAATCGGTCAAGCCGTTATAGTATACATTGGATGTTGAATTTCCCACTTTACTTCTTTGTGAATTTTATTCAATTTCATAATATTTTTCAGTACTGATAATATTTTTTTAAATACAATGACAGTTTTATTAATATATACTGGCTTCAGGCTCAGTATACCATTTACAATGACCCCTTTAGAGATAGGTAACATATATATAAATATATCTTTCTGTTATAAATATATACCGCATCTGTTATTCGGCTCGCTCTGTGACGCGTCTCTGCAGTTTACTCGCGCAATTTGAGGGCGTGGTCCTTGATGGCGCCACCGTCGCCCTCCGACACGAAACGTTTACGTCCTCTGCAATTACAAACAAACTGATTAATTATATATTTTTTGGAGCACAGGAAGGAGAGAGGGAGGTCTGGAAGAGTAAGATAGAAAACGAGCTTGCGACTCATCTCAATCGGTTATTTTATAGGATATAGTATTATTTTATAATTGAAAAGAAAAGAAGGAAGGAAGAAAATATGTTATTATTAATTATTATTATTATATTTGTTGCCGATGGCAACCTTTTTGATAGTTTTTATGTTTTTTATATATATTTGAATTTTATATTTTGACGTTCTGTTTTAATATACCGTTTGTTTTCTTATGCCATATAGGCTTTATATTTTTGCTAGCGAGCTGATTACATCTATTTTACCTCACCTAAGAACGTGTCTCATTTTTAACCAGCCTTAATACAGTCCATCCTTCCTTCCGTAACAATATTATTATTAAATTAAATATTATTAATTGTTCTATATAACATTGAGGGGCGATGCTAAGTTGATTTATTTTAAACTAGCTACCCACCCCGGCTTTGCCCGGGTGTACATGTATTACAATATAAACCTACCTCTTGAATCACTCTATCTAAAAAAAAACCGCTGCAAAATCCGTTGCGTAGTTAAAAGAATTTAATCATATATAGGGACAGACGGCGACAGCGACTTTATCTTATACTATGTAATGATACTATATCTCAATTATTATTTTTCTCAAATATGTACCGTATGATCTATTATTATTAAGCAAGCTTTATAAGTGTTTTATGAGCCGCTCTATATATCGACGATCAGTGAAATTAGATCCTCTTTACGAGCAAATGTGGGGGTGTACATGTATTACAATATAAACCTACCTCTTGAATCACTCTATGTATTAAAAAAACACCTTCAAAAACCGTTGTGTAGTTTAAAGAATTTAATCATATATAGGGACAGACAGCGACAGCGACTTTATCTTATACTATGTAATGATACTATATCTCAATTATTATTTTTCTCAAATATGTACTGTATGATCTATTATTATTAAGCAAGCTTTATAAGTGTTTTATGAGCCGCTCTATATATCGACGATCAGTGAAATTAGATCCTCTTTACGAGCAAATGTGGGGGTGTACATGTATTACAATATAAACCTACCTCTTGAATCACTCTATGTATTAAAAAAACACCTTCAAAAACCGTTGTGTAGTTTAAAGAATTTAATCATATATAGGGACAGACGGCGACAGCGACTTTATCTTATACTATGTAATGATACTATATCTCAATTATTATTTTTCTCAAATATGTACTGTATGATCTATTACTATTAAGCAAGCTTTATAAGTGTTTTATGAGCCGCTCTATATATCGACGATCAGTGAAATTAGATCCTCTTTACGAGCAAATGTGGGGGTGTACATGTATTACAATATAAACCTACTTCTTGAATCACTCTATGTATTAAAAAAACACCTTCAAAAACCGTTGTGTAGTTTAAAGAATTTAATCATATATAGGGACAGACAGCGACAGCGACTTTATCTTATACTATGTAATGATACTATATCTCAATTATTATTTTTCTCAAATATGTACTGTATGATCTATTACTATTAAGCAAGCTTTATAAGTATTTTATGAGCTGCTCTATATATCGACGATCAGTGAAATTAAATCCTCTTTACGAGCAAATGTGTTGAGAATAAATAAACAATATTGATTACCTAGTGGGCACTCGTTTCAGCACGGCGTCCCCGAGCCTGAACTTGTGCTGACAGCGTTCCATGAACCGGTCCAGCATTATGTACGCGAGCGGCACGTCCAGCACTATATCTGTCATGTCCTCGAGCACGCGCAGGAAGCCCTGCAGCATCAGCATCACGTTGTACAAACGACAGGAAATTACTCTTTCACAATTGAAGGATTTCCATTAATTATGGGAATAAATTACGTCACATGTTGAGGATAAGGATCAAGGGAAAGGATTGATTATTTATTTTATTTAAGCTTTATCTTATATATAAAATTCTCGTGTCACAGTTTTCGTTCCCATACTCCTTCGAAACGGTTTGACCGATTCTCATGAAATTTTGTGAGCGTATTGAGTAGGTCTGAGAATCGGCCAACATCTATTTTTCATCCCCCTAAATGTTAGGGGTAGTCCACTCCTAATTTTTTTTTAAATTTAAGGCAAAACAACGTTTGCCGGTACAGCTAGTTATTCATATAATTATAATTTCTATTTGAAGTTAGACTAATTTGGTTTCTTTATATATATGTGGGTAAAAGCCTCCTCCATGTTCCAATGAGAGGATCGATAAACTGTGACATTGTGTGACAAGAGGGTGGGAAGCGTCTTAAATATATTATGTCACATTTCAAAAATCATCTGATTATTAAATCAAAATTATAATCGGAGGGGGAAAAGAGAGGATCGACAAAGTGTGACAATGTGTGACAAGATGGTGGGAAGCGTCTTAAATATATTATGTCACATTTCAAAAATCATCTGATTATTAAATCAAAATTATAGTCGGAGGGGGAAAAGAGAAGATCGACAAAGTGTGACAAGATCGTGTGAAGCGTCTTAAATATATTATGTCACATTTCTAAAATCATCTGATTATTAAATCAAAATTATAGTCGGAGGGGGGAAAAGAGAGGATCGACAAAGTGTGACAATGTGTGACAAGATCGTGTGAAGCGTCTTAAATATATTATGTCACATTTCTAAAATCATCTGATTATTAAATCAAAATTATAGTCGGAGGGGGAAAAGAGAGGATCGACAAAGTGTGACAATGTGTGACAAGATCGTGTGAAGCGTCTTAAATATATTATGTCACATTTCTAAAATCATCTGATTATTAAATCAAAATTATAGTCGGAGGGGGAAAAGAGAGGATCGACAAAGTGTGACAATGTGTGACAAGATCGTGTGAAGCGTCTTAAATATATTATGTCACATTTCTAAAATCATCTGATTATTAAATCAAAATTATAGTCGGAGGGGGAAAAGAGAGGATCGACAAAGTGTGACAATGTGTGGCAAGAGGGTGGGAGTGGTCCTAAATAATATTATGGAATTGGAAGGGGAGGAGCGAGTTTCACAAATGTGATAGCATTTTTTTCTATTGTGTGCGCTAACGATGCAAATAAAATAATTATCTATCTATCTATATTTTGTAATATTGAAGTAACTGTTTTATACCACATACATATGAATATAAATACGGTTCATACACCAAAATAACATTTTTTACAATCTGTCAATACAATTTACAATTTTTGTCTGTCTGTCTGTTTGTTCCGGCTAATCTCTGAAATGGCTGGATCAATTTTGATGGGACTTTTTTTGACAGGTAGTTGATGTAATAAGGAGTAACTTAGGCTACATTTATTTTAGAAAATTAAAGTTAAATTTCACGTGAACTCGCGAGTACAGCTAGTCTAATATATGTGTGTAGTAATGTTACACTCACCCTATCCATTTGATCCGGCGACACTATGACGCACCTCCGCAACTCCGCCAGAAACGTACACAATTGTTCTTCTACGCTCGAATTTATTGCTTCCACCGCTAGTAATATAGTCTGTAGACAAGACATACATATTAATATATATTACTAGCTACTCGCCCGGGCTTCGCACGGGTGTACATGTATCTTCTAAATATATATAACTCAAAGGTGACTGACATAGTGATCTATCAACGCACAGCCCAAACCACTGGACGGATCGGGCTAAAATTTGGCATGCAGGTAGATGTTATGACGTAGGCATCCACGAAGAAAGGATTTTGATTAATTCTACCCCCAAAGGGATTAAATAGGGGTTGAAAGTTTGTATGAAACTTTGTCAATTTTAAACCGATCGGGCTGAGACTTTGCAAGCATAAAGCTACTATGACGTAGGCATCCCCTAAGAAAGGATTTTGATAAATTCCACCCCTAAAGGGATAAATTAACGCGAGCAAAGCCGCGGGCAAAAGCTAGTTATATATATCCCATCAAAAACATAAATGTGAAATGATAGCCGAGTTTAATATTATGATATATGCCTTGATTGTTGACTTCTACGACAAAAGAGATGAGATCTAAATGGGTGCCAAGTTCAATGGTCTGTCCTGAAATGTATTTAAACAATATAAAATATCATATCTTCTTATAACTTAGGATAATATACTGTAGCCTAAGGTCTAACTTGGCCAGTTCTCATATACGAAATATACTATATTTTTTCCTTTATATTCACCTAATTACCTATCTGCATGCCAAATTTGAACTTCCTAGGTCATCTGGAAGTGGGTTATAATTTTGATCTATAGTTGATCAGTGATAAAAATGACGATATTTGGACATAAATATCTAAATAACCGTTAGAGATATGTTTATGAAATTTGGAACACATATTTATCTCGCAAGTCTCAATATATGAACCAAATTTGACAGGTTTATGTGAAAGAGTTTTTGAGTTATGAGGGGGTCAAAAGTGGCTCCAAATGGTTCGTGTAAATATACACACGGTGCTGCTCGCCAGTTACTTGAAACTCGGCTTGACACGCTACCGCGTGTCTAGATATATATATAAACTTTCCTCTAGACTCACTCTATCTATTTTAAAAAAAACCGCTCCAATATCCGTTGCGTAATTTAAAGATTTAAGCATACATAGGGACGGACAGACAGCGACAGCGACTTTGTTTTATACTATGTAACGATATATAAACCCGCGCGACTTCGTCTGCATCACACTTATAAAAACCGTGGGCATAGCTAATAGTTTATATAGACAGCTAAGAGCATAGATATTATTTTAAAATTATATATGAAAAATATATTAATTCAATAAAAAAAAACAAACCAATCTTCACATCACACTTTATTTTTTGGTAATTGTTCTACGTATGTATGTATATGTATATAAGTATGGAAAAAAAATATAATGTAAAAACTTGACGTTCATAAGCGGCTAAAATGTCCTACATGAATAAATGATTTTTTAATTTGAATTTGAATTTGTATGTGTGTGTGTGTGTGTATGTGTGCATACATATATATATATGTTAAATGTACCAACGTCAAAATGTGTAAATATATGTCCATATCAATAATGGTTGTCAATAAAAGTTTTTCTTTCTTTCTTTACCATATATGTCACCACACACGCATATACCCTCTTTTTGTTTATCGTTAAAGTCTGTGGTCAAATTGAGAATATAATATTACAAACTGTGACCGCGATTTCACTCGAGTTAAATTTCAATAAATAATATAGCCTACATGATATTCTGATGCATAAGCTATATCACTGTAAAGTTTAATCAAAATCCTTACAGTAGTTTTTGCGTGAGAGTAACAAACATCCATATTTACAAACTTTCGCGTTTATATATATATATATACTATTATTATTATTTTACCTCATAGACAAGTTCGTGGTGAAAATGTGGCACTTCCAGGTCCTTGACGCAGCGCATTGCCTCCGCCAGGTCTCCGGACGTCAGGTACTCCTTCAACAGCAGCTGGATCTGGCGGATCAGCGACTTGACTGGCCTGCACACATATACATACTCTTCATTACTCAAAGTTTCGATTTCCTAGGTCTTAAGAGATATCTTTCAGCGGTAAGGCCGCCTTTTTACAATTTTATATAGTTCTACTATATATATTACATTGTTGCTGCGGCTAAGGTTCTCGAATAAAATAATATTGCGACTATAAATTGAGATGTAAGCTATCCTATCTTTCAAGTTGGATCAAATTGCACACAATGTGCAAATCAAATTTGCAATCGGTTCAGTAGATTAGGAATCCATCGCGGATAAACAAAGTGATACGTAATTTTTATATATAAAGATTTTTTTGTAAATGACATTGTACTGTAACTGTCAAACTTAATTATCTAAATTATATTATTGGACTCGGTGGTCTAGCGGTTATCACACCGCCTTACTTCCGATGGTCGCGGTTCGATTCCTCGCACGGCACAAACATATGTATTCATGTTCTGGCAATAAATAAATATTACATAGATATATCATAAGAGTCTGTAATAGACCTACATGAATAGATATATTTTGAATTTGAATTATTATTATTACACCTATTATTTTTCCTGCCGTCCAGTCTATTTATCTATCAATTGAATGTTTGCTATTTACCTGATACCACCACCGACGCCCCAAATGTTGTCGAGCCTCACCAGCCCCTGTTTCATTGACAGCAACGTCTCCGCCCTGTGAATGGCTTGCCTGCAAACAAACACACAATATTGTAGAGACAAAAATAATATATTATTTATTAGGATCTTATTCTTCCCTATGCCAGTCCTCTCTATTATAACAGATCTCAGTAGTCTATGGTCTGTTTTTAATCCCAGAGACAAATTTGAGATTACCAATGTTGCCAGTTTTTGCAATTCTTAAATAGTGTTGTGGCAATATCAGATAGCGTAGCGGTTTTGTATTGATTGCCGCATGCATTCTTATGTGAAATGTGAATACTATAACCATCAGATGGCAATTGTGAGTAGCTATGACGTGGTCTGGTGTTTTGAGTAGTCATGCTCACTAAAATGTCCAGACTTGAGGCGGCGTGGTGGGCCGGGTCATTGGGCTCCCTAAAATATGGTCGAGCGCAATGGTGGCTGGCTCATCCGTCATACTCGTGAACGGGTACTGCTTGTGTGGACTGGTCTGCTCTAATCACTATGACTTATTTTCTTTTATTAATTGTTTAACCAGTTGTTGTATATTGAATGTTTTTTCTATTTTATTATTTCATTGAATTAGTGCTAATCGGTGGTTTGTATTCACACACTTAAACTTAAATTGTAAGTAAGAATAAATTATTTAAAAGAGCAACACACAAGTTTCTTGCTTGTTCTTCTTGTGATGAGACAGCATTCCGAATGAGCGGTAGATTAAAAAAAAATGTTATGACTATTCAAAAGTGCTTCAATGTAAGTTTATTTGAATAAATGGTTTTTTATTCTATTCTATTCTAGATATTAATATTAATTACTCATTTTTATAATTTATTCAGAAATAATGTGTGGGTGTTTATTTAAAGTGCGCTATCACAAAATTAATAAAGTATAGGTATTAATAACATATATCAAAATATATTTTTTTATTTTACACAAAGACTAATTGCCCTTTTTATTAAACAAATATTTCGATTTAGAACTTTCTATAGTGTCATTATCAAGCCAGCAGTTTTATCATCGACGTTCGTTCATCATCTTTCGTTGAACAATCTAGTGATGATAGATGAAAAAACTGCTGTCACTTATCTACATTGACATCGCTGTTACTCCAGTCAGCTCGTGACCACGTCTAGTGCAACCTAGTCAAAACGTCGAGAGAGGTAATAAACATAAAGTTATTTGTGTTAAGACCCGATTAATAATATAATAATAATAATAATAATGTCTCAGGACAATTGATGCAGCGCCATCTAGTTCCAAGCTAAGCAGAGCTTGTGTTATGGGTACTAGACAACTGATATAAATACATGGATACATTTTTTTTTGTAAATAAATACATATTATACATAGAAAACACCCAGACTGATACAAACAATCATACTCATGAATACAAATGTTTGTACCGTGCGAGGAATCGAACCCACGCCCATCGGATAGTAAAGCGGTGTGCTAAACCACTAGACCACCGAGGCTGTCAATATATATAAATAATGTATATTAAACACGACAGTTTAAAAACAATTTTAAACGTGTCTTTGGAAAATAATATATGTGAACCCAAAAAATAAAATGCAATTACTCACAACTAAGTGTGCTGGCTTTTCCGCGATAAATTGAGCGTGAAAGAATGCGTCGTGTAACCAATAACCGTAACACAAGCTCTGCTTAGCTTGAAACTAGATGGCGCTGTGAGTTTTTTTTAAAGGATGATAATGGAAAGATCCACCCGCCTGCGCTAACGGTTTACGCTGGCCGGGCACCAGTGGAGGATGACCAGATCAGCCCAACGTGACAAATTCACCGGGAATGTATCACGATGGTTTCCAGGGGGAACCGCGTGGAGGTCGATCTGACATGGTACATTGCTAGCAATGGGATCATCAATCCACATTACTAACAATTCCCTTCCCCCGGCGCTGTAAGTTGTCCTGAGACATTATTAGTATAACTAACCTGGCGGGCGGACTGAGTTGTGCATTCGCCTGCGCCTGCACGAACTTTGGTGGTAGACAGTCATCGGCCACGCAGCGCGCCACGAAGTTCGACAACAGCACGGCCGCATCCGGGGTATCCAACACTAGATCCGGCAGCTTCTCCAGCAGCTGCTCGAACGCTGCACAGACAGACAGACATTCAGCATGCGGACTAGAGACCCGGTGGTAACCAGTTCCACACTGAATATTTGTGGTCTCACACTCTTAATGGTAGCAGAATTAACTGCTCGCCATCGACAGAGAATTCATCCCCACAAGCTGGAACCTAAATGGTCGCCACAGTGCGGTTTCAGAGGAGTTTCCTCCCGCGTACACTTAGATTGTGGAATGAACTACCCGCCGAGGTTTTCCCACGAGACTACAGCATGGGGTTCTTCAAGAAAGCCATGAAATATTAAGGTTTCTTAAGGGTCGGCAACGCGCACGTGATATCCCTGGTGTTTCAGGCGTTCATAGGCTACGGTAACCGTTTACCATCAGATGGGCCGTATGCTTGATTGCCACCATCATAGTATATAAAAAAAAATAAAAAAATTCAAATCATCAATTCTTACTTGGTATTGATTTTTTGTTAATTTCTAACTGTAGTAAAGTTTAGTGTTAAAAACTAAGTAAAAACATCAATGGCATATATGTGGGTACATTGTTATTAATATTTTATGTTCACCGTCAATATAATAAAGAATCAGTCTCGTAAAGTGTCTTGTCATTATAACATCCTAGTTAACAGTTGTGCACTATAATATAATACATACCATTTGGCGACGAGAGAATCCAAATTATTATATAAATTGTTCATTGATATTATTAGTTGTGACATAATGAGTGAAAAAAAATCGAAGGATATTGGCTACTTGAAAGAATTCCAAATACATGTGGATCGGTGGCCCACCTATATGAGTCGACTTAGAGCGTGGTTCGTAATTAATGATGTGAAAATTGTAGACCAATCTAAATACTTGATGGCCGTGGTTGGCACCGAAGCTTTGGACCTTATAATCGACTTATGTTATCCGGAAAAACCTGAAAACGTGTCAATTGAAAAAATCGAATCGCTCGTTGACGAACATTTATCTCCAAAGAGATCAATTATCGCTGAACGAATTATATTTAGATCATGCAAACAAACAGAGGGACAGTCAATAAGCGATTATCTTGTAAAATTGAAGAAATTAAGTAAGGCGTGTAAATTTTCATCTACCGACAAATTAAAAGAGAATCTGCGTGATCAATTCGTTTATGGACTTCTCAGCGATCGTACACGGCAACGCCTGTTAACAGAGAAGGACGAGGACCTCACATTTACTCGTGCCTGTGAATTGGCACTATCGTTGGAGACGATGGAACGAGACTCGGGACCGGCTACGGAAGCTGGGCGTGGTCGTGGCGGCAGCGGTGTCACCGACCAGGAACCTGTGTATGCAGTCAGCGGCCGCAGTACCGGCGCCGGTAGCGGCCGTGACTGGCAAAGGGGAGCACGGCGACAAGCGCGCGGTAGTAATCGAGTACCGCAGCGCACCCAGCACAGGTGTCATCGTTGCGATGGAAATCATGCGTCAGACAAGTGTTCGTTTTTATATAGTGAGTGTTATGTGTGCGGAAAAAAAGGGCATATAGCTAAAATGTGTAAAATGTGTATGGTCGAGAATTCACTTTAGTCACAGACTGTAAACCGCTCGCGTCTATTTTCAATGAAAATAAGGGAGTCCCATTGATGGCCGCGAGCCGTCTTCAGCGCTGGGCCGTAATACTAGGCGCGTACAACTATAAAGTTAAGTGTATCAGTTCAAAATATAATTGTGTAGCCGATTGCCTATCGAGGATTCCGACCGTTGTGACAGAAGAGAGTACGCGGATCGATTCATACATTAATGTTATACAAAATACGTCTCCCATTAGTTACAAGGATATTGCAAAATATACAGCATCCGATAAAGTATTGCAAGAGTTACATAAAAGTATTAAATCTAATTGGATATACTGTAAATGTAAAGATTTAAAGCCATATTTTGAAATAAAGGAATATCTCAGTATCGAGCAAGGCTGTATTTTATATGGTCATCGGGTTGTTATTCCCGGCGCATTGAGAGAGGCTATTTTAAATTTAATACACCAGACGCATCAGGGTGTGGTGAAATGTAAAAATTTGGCTCGAAACTATGTATACTGGCCAGGTATCAATGGCGACATAGAACGTGTGTGTGGCGCGTGCGGGACGTGCGCCCGCGCCGCTGCACCCGTGGGTGTGGCCACAGGAACCCTGGTACCGAATACACGTTGATTTTTTCTCGTTACCCGGCGATTCTAAGTATTATTTTGTTATCATAGATGCACACTCTAAATGGATTGAGTCATTTAGAGTTCACAACACTTCAGCTACTTCGACCATAGACAAATTGCGCAAAGTATTTGCACGATTTGGTCTTCCACATGAATTGGTGTCCGATAATGGACCACCATTTTCTAGTCATGAGTTTACAATTTTTTTGAACAGTCTAGGTGTACATCCAATAACAACGACTCCTTATAAACCTAGTAGTAACGGGGCGGGAGAAAATGCGGTAAAAATAATTAAAAAAGTATTAAAAAAAGCGGTTCATGACAAAATAGATTCGGAATTGGCGTTGGACAATTTTTTATTAATATACCGGTCTACACCACATAGTATAACTGGGAAAACTCCAACAAGCCTGTTGCTAGGCAGAGAGGTGCGTACACCTTTTAGTTTGTTACAACCCAGCACGAGCGAGTTAGTGAAAAATAAACAAAGAAAACAGATTGAATATAAAAATAATAATACCTATAGACAATTCAGCGTCGGGGATCACGTGTATTTTAAGTTGTTTCGGCGTAATACATTTACATGGGAAAGGGGTGTTGTCACTGACCGTGTGGGTCCATTGACGTACTATGTCAAGTATAATAATAAATATTTAAAAAAACATGTCGATCAGTTACGCATATTTAATAGTATTGATTCAAATTTATTATATGATTATGAACGTCGATCGAGTGGGGACGCTGCATCAATCAGTAGCGGTCAAATCGTGTCCAACAACGACCAAAATCTACCTGAACCCGATATTGAACCCGTGACGGAGACACAGCCGGTAGGCCCGCGGTCACTATACCCACAGGTGCTTTCGCCAGGGACTCATGAGTCACCCGATGGCGATGCCCCTAGATCGCGTTCAATTCGAATACGCAAACCGGTGTCAAGATATGGAATGGATGAATAATTTTTACAAATATTTTAGGTTTCACACAAGCTGTACATTTTTCCATTTGTGTATGCGTACACCAGTAAGCGTAGTATATTACTGTTATACTTACATAAGACAACTGGTTTAATATGTAATTGTATTTTTTTTTAATTTTAGTTATTTTTTATACTAATTGAACTTTAAAGTTAAACGTTTTTTTTTTGTTTCAGTGTTTTTAGTTTTATTATACTAATTGGACGTAAAATTTTATATATAAGATTAAGTATTATGGTATGTACAGGTGTAGTAAATATAATTGTTTTAGGTTATTTCTTTTCGTTACAGTGTTATATATCTACAAGTAAATAATTATTATGTATATATTACTTTGTAGCTAGGGGGGGAAGAATGGCATATATGTGGGTACATTGTTATTAATATTTTATGTTCACCGTCAATATAATAAATAATCAGTCTCGTAAAGTGTCTTGTCATTATAACATCCTAGTTAACAGTTGTGCACTATAATATAATACATACCAATCAAGATGACCGCTGTTAGACTCCTTGCAGTTTGTCATAGACCCCTGGGGGTCATTATAGACCACTTTGGAAATCACTGGCCTAGACGAATGACTGCGGATAATCGGGATTCTACCGTAATAAGTAATAATTACTTTAAAACTAACCATAGGCAATGTCCTTAGCGGAGAGTATTCTGCCATAGAGGTCAGAGATAAGTACAGAGGCCATTTCACAGTGAGACGGCTTATGGTCCAAAGCTATTTCTACTATTGTCTCGCACACCTGTAACAAAACATTCAATTTAGTATAGTAGTCTATACATCCTTACTAATATTATAAATGCGAAAGTAACTCTGTCTGTCTGTCTGTCTGTCTGTCTCGCTTTCACGCCAAAATTACTGAACCGATTTGAATGAAATTTAGTACGCAGATAGTCTAGACGCCGAGGAAGGACATAGGCTACTTTTTAATGCGAAAAAAGGGTTGTAAGGGATTCAAAATGGAAATACAAGGTTATCTTTATGCGGTTGAATACATCGCACACTTATTCGTCCTCTTTTTATTTCACTAGCTAACAACCAATCAACACATCGCGTGCGTTTGCGCCATTCGCCATCTTTTCATTTCACTAGCTAACAACCAATCAACACATCGCATGCGTTTGCGCCAATAAGGTATCCATCACAGAGAACAAAACCACAGATAACATAATGTAAAACGAAAGATCTTACCGGAAACATGACATGGCAATTATTTTTATTAATTAGTTTTGTTTTAGCCCAACTTAAAGTTTTACAATATAAATCACAAAAATTAAAGTCAATGTCCAATGTCAAATAATAATAAATGTCAAATGTTGTTTCTCTGTTCTGACGAACTTATTAAAAAAAACTTAATAACAATCACAATTTCTTCACATTTTATTATTTACATTTTTAAAATAATGTTGTGGTGTGGCACTATCCGAAATTGAATTATTTACCCATTTTTGTAGGTATACAGAAATAATGTGTGGGTGTTTATTTAAAAAGCATTAACAAAAAATTAAAAGTATAGGTATTAATAAATATATGGTTGTTGTATCAAAATAGAATTTTCTTATTTTTCACTAAAATAAAAACTAACTGCCTTTTTTATAAAATAAATGACCTTTTCATTGTGTCATATATTATGAAATTATTTAAATTATTTAGCTGATTGTAAGAAACAAAATGTTGGTTTGTAGATTAATACTGTAAAATTACTATTTGTACGGAAACGACAAAAATATTTTTGTCCTGCGACAAAAATCCTTACTAATATTATAAATGCGAAAGCAACTCTGTCTGTCTGTCTGTCTCGCTTTCACGCCAATACTACTGAACCGATTTGAATGAAATTGGGTATACAGATAGTCTAGACCGTGAGAACGGGCATAGGCTACTTTTTAATGCGAAAAAAGGGTTGTAGGGGGTTAAAAGGGGGGATGAAAGATTGTATGGAAGAATCGTCATTTTTGAAGCTAGAAGCTAGAAACTTACTTTTTGAGGCTGTTGATTAAATATAAATAAAAATAACATTCAATGTTTGTAAAAAATTACCCTTAAAGGGGTAAAATAAAATAGGGGATGCACGTTTTTATGTAAATTCGTCATTTTTGAAGCTAGAAGCCTGAAACTTATTGTTGAGACTGTTGATTAAATATAAATACATATGACCTTCATTGTTTGTAAAAAAATTACCCTTAAGGGGGTAAAATAAAATAGGGGATTCAAGTTTTTATGTAAATTCGTCATTTTTGAAGCTAGAAGCCTGAAACTTATTGTTGAGACTGTTGATTAAATATAAATACATATGACCTTCATTGTTTGTAAAAAAATTACCCTTAAGGGGGTAAAATAAAATAGGGGATGCAAGTTTTTATGTAAATTCGTCATTTTTTAAGCTAGGGGCTTGAAACTTAGTTTTGAGGCTGTTGATTGAATATAATTAATATGACATTCACTGTTTGTAAAAAATTTACCCTTAAGGGGGCAAAATAAAATAGGGGATGCAAGTTTTTATGTAAATTCGTCATTTTTGAAGCTAGAAGCTTGAAACTTATTTTTGAGGCTTTTGATTAAATATAAATAAATATGACATTCATTGTTTGTAAAAAAATTACCCTTAAGGGGGTAAAATAAAATAGGGGATGATAGATATTATGTAAATTCGTAATTTTTGAAACTAGAACAATGAAACTATTTTCATTGGTTCTTTTGGGGTAGATTTTTAAATACCCCACTAATGTTATAACTGTGAAAGTAACTCTGTTTGTCTTTCTGTCAGTCTTACGCTCCAAATCAAAACAAAAATTTAAAAGAAATTTGGTATACAGTTTGGTACACCCGGACAAAGAATATAGGGTACTTTTGAATGTGAAAAAGGATTGTAAGAGGGTTGCAATGGTACGCTGTATGGGAGAATCGTCACTTTTTAAAACTAGAAGAGACTCATTTTTAGGCTGTTGTTTTCAATAAATATGACATTCAATGTTTGTAAAATTTATATTCTTAGGGGGGGGGGGGGGGGTGAAAGTTATTGTGGAAATTTGCTGTTTGTGTCGTTGTGGAAGCTAGAACGATAAAGATACTGAACCAATTTAAATTGAAATTTGAAACAGACATAGATAGACTAGATCCTGAGAAAGGACATAGGTTACTTTTTAATGTGAAAAAGGATTGCAAGAGGATTGAAAGGGTAGATCCAAGGTTATATAGATGTATCGTCATGTTTAAAGCTAGACGCTTGAAATTTATTTTTTAGCCTATTGATTAAATATTTATTATTATTTTTTATCATTTTTGAAGCTAAAACGATGAAACTTATTTATGTGACTGATATTGTGTTAATTGAGTTAAATATTTTTTCATTATTTACGCGGACGAAGTCGCGGGTACAGCTAGTCTATACATATAAATAAAATTGGAGTGTCTGTTTGTAATATTGAAATAACCGTTTTGTACTACATGCATATGAATATAGATACGGTACATACACCAAAATAACATTTTTTACAATTTTTGTCTGTCTGTCTGTTTGTTCCGGCTAATCTCTGAAATGGTTGGACAGATTTTGACGGGACTTTTTTTAGCAGTTAACTGATGTAATGAGGAGTAGCTTAGACTATTTTTATTTTAGAAAAATAAAGTTAAATTCCACGCGGACGTAGTCACGGGTACGGCTAATGTTACAATAAATAGAATAGAATATTTATCACATCATACATCACAACAGAACAATGACGATGCTCACAGCAGCATATAAATAATTATCTTCAGATATAAAAATAACGTGTCCAGTTGTTTTTCGCGATGAAATCCTAAACTACTACCGAATTTGATTAAGTTTTATATGTATACTCGATAAGTTGTTATCTATTTTTTTATACCCCTAAGTGATAAGGGTGAGCTAAAAAATGTTTCTTTATTTTTTGTTCAATTTGGTATTATCAAATACATACATACAACTCATAATTTTTACCCTTCTACCATCAACCACTATTATTTGCAGGGACAGCTAGCATCATATAAATTGTAATAAAAAAGTAACAAAATTCAAACAAAAAAAAAATATAAAATATAGTAAAATGACATGACATTATTATGTTGTTTCGTTGGTCGTAATAAAGCATTACATAGTATAAAACAAAGTCGCTGCCGCTGTCTGTCCCTATGAATGCTTAAATCTTTGAAACTACGCATCGGATTTTGAAGCCGTATTTTTTAATAGATAGAGTGATTCAAGAGGAAGGTTTATATATATAATACATGTACACCCGTGCGAAGCCGGGGCGAGTAGCTAGTGTATTATATAAAACAATTCGAATTCTCAATCAACATATTCTCAATACATTAATATGTGAGTTGTGAGTAATTTTATTCCGTTCTAAATAAAAATGCTTCATCATTATCTATTAAAATCTTACCAAATGGCTTCGCTTGGCGGTGACGAACTCCAGAAAGTCCTCCACGGCCGCGTTCGTGTCGCCGTGCTCGAAGTACTCCAGGATAACGGGTTCGGCCTTGCGCTGCAATCAAGAAAATTGATTATGTACTCAACTAGCTTTTGCCCGCGGCTCGCTCGCGTTAATTTATCCCCTTAGGGGTGGAATTTATCAAAATCCTTTCTTAGGGAATGCCTACGTCATAGTAGCTTTATGCATGCAAAGTCTCAGCCCGATCGGTTTAAAATTGACAAAGTTTCATACAAACTTTCATCCCCTTGAGGTTATCCCTCAAGAAAGAAAGGATTCTCATCCGCTAAGAAAGGATTTTAATTAATTCTACAATTAATTAAAATCCTTTCTTAGCGGATGCCTACGTCATAACATCTACCTGCATGCCAAATTTCAGCCCGATCCGTCCAGTGGTTTGGGCTGTGCGTTGATAGATCACTATGTCAGTCACCTTTGAGTTATATATATTTAGATGCATGAATATGAGTAATGGAAGGTTTACTCTGAAAGAAATCTCTTTCAGCCAACATTTATATTCATCATATAAAGTGGGTGCATGGACGAAGAAGATATGATAACTTTTTTGCACTTTCAGAGCTTGTGTTATGTGTACTAGACAACTGATATACATACTTAGATATTTTATTTTTATCTATACATCTATACATATAAATAAAATTGGAGTGTCTGTTTGTAATATTGAAATAACCGTTTTTTACTACATGCATATGAATATAACTACGGTACATACGTAATTTTTTTTTTTCAATTTTTGTCTGTCTGTCTGTCTGTTCTAGCTAATCTCTGAAATGGCTGAACCGATTTTGACTGGACTTTTTTTGGCAGGTAGCTGATGTAATAATACATAATACTTGGTAGTGTGTGTAATGATTTTATTTTTATTGATATAATATATTTTAAGCATAATTTTAAAAACTCCGCAATTTTCGTAAAAAGGGACAACGTTATTGCGGATGTGTAGTTCAGAAAAAAAGTAAATTTTTGGTGAAAATTAATAGAATAGTTGTAAACGTGACAGTGCATCGACATATCTGTCACATTGTGTGACAAGTGACAATGATTGCGTGGCAATAGTGGAGTCAACGGCTGTCAATGACCTCTGTTCATATTCCATTCAGCTCATGCAACTGTTCAGTATCATATAGTGATGTCCGAAGTGACAAACATATCGATATATCGATATTTTTATAACAATATAATTCCAATATTCATATGCATACTTAGACTGTGTAATGAACTACCTGCCGACGTTTTCTTACGAGATCACAGGATGGGGTTTTTCAAGAAGGGTATGTTAGGGTTTCTTAGGGGTCGGCACGTGACATCAGGTGGGCCGTATACTTGTATGCCACCATCGTAGTATAAAAAATATGCTTTTAAACGAAAACCATATGAATATTATAAAACAGAAAGTTTGTGAGGATAAATAATATTCAATAATTTATAGAAATAATATCAACACAAAAATTCTCCATATTTACTATGTTTACTGTATCTTTTCTTATATAATTTACAAACATACTATCAAAATGATATTTCATTTGGGCATATAAATCAAATAATATATTTATGCTTTTAAGAATTCCCTTTGTAGCCCATTCTGAAAATTTCATAGTGACTGGTCTATGCTGATAATCTTATTTATGTCGAGTTTGCTATTAGGCTGCTATGGCTATTAGTATGTATTCACACAAAATTCTTAAATATATATAAAGAGCAACACACTTTCTTGATCATACTTCTTATGATGATTCGTTCGAATGAGTGGTAGACTAAAAAATATGACTATACAAAAGTGCTTGTATTGAGTTTATTTGAATAAAGATTATTTCTTTCTCGATAACGATATCGATATTTTCCACAGCCCTAGTTTCAAATCGAGGACGCGACGCGTCGTTATAATGCGCTTGCGCAAACACATTAGCATAAAAATATAAACAAAGCAAAAAACGACCTATTCCCGTAAACGATTTCAAATTCTAATAAAGTTTTACCTATTTTTAACGCCATCTGATCTTATATTAAGTGAAACTTGTATGTGGACTGGATAACTGATAAACGTATAAAACCATCATCATGAATTCTTGGTGAATTTGTCACGATGACCTGACCTGAACTCATCATTCATCTTATCATCCTCCACTGGTGTGGAGGGTCCACTTTGTGGCCCGGGTCCCACCAACATGCTGGCCACCTTCATGACGGAGGACTACTAGCCGAAAGGTGTGCTATATCGGCGCTACCGTGGCAGATCTGGATAACTGATAAACGTATAAAACCATCATGATAAATTCCTGGTGAATTTGTCACGATGACCTGACCTGAACTCATCATTCATCTTATCACCCTCCACTGGTGCCCCGCCAGCGTTAACCGTTAGCGCAGGCAGGTGCACCATTTCATTTCCGACCACGGCATGTACCTGTCCCGTCTGTCTACACTACGCCACAAAGGAGCAGGAAATTGTCGACTACATATAGACCAGGAGTAACCTGACATTGAGGGTGACGCAGCTGGAGTCCGGGTCCCACCTTCATGAAGGAGGACTACTGGCCGAAAGGTGTGGTGTGTACGGCGCTACCGTGGCAGATTGCCGTCTACAGTGCCGTGATCACACAGACAATATCAATATATTAGTTTATGTGTATTAGTCCATATATATAGTTGCCCGAAATAAGTGAATAAATAAATTATCGTCCATAAAAAAAAAAGCCTAAGTACGTAAAAAAAAATATATTTACAATGATCTCCTCTGGATCCGCCTCCACGATGACCTGTTTGAACTCGATGTCCCCGTTGGTGACAGCCTCCGAGTCGTAATTAGGATCATTGGCATCCTCCTCGTACTCCTCCAGCATTTCTGATCCTGGAGCACCCCACACTCCCTTGCCACCAGCGCCACCTGCAGAACAAAATTGAATACATTAACAAATCGATCGCATGCAAATTTGTTGGCATATACAATACGTAGTTGGACCATACGATGTGACGCATTCTTTGCCTCAACGTCACGATTTATTTTATTTTAATAGAAATAATCTTTATTCTAATAAACTTAATATAAGCACTTTTGAATAGTCAATTTTTTTTTTATTCCACCGCTTATTCGGAATGCAGATTCATCACAAGAAGAATAAGCAAGAAACTTGTGTATTGCTCTTTTAAATAAATATTGATTTACTTATATTTAATTAATAAATAGGATTAAGCATGCGACAATCAACATAGAAACCGCTACGCACTTAATCTCTGTTCAATCAGATAACGTTGTCAGCGCTATGAATTTTAAGTTAGATATTTTCTACAAAAACATTATCATTTATAAATTCTTCAATTTTATAATAAGCTTTTTTACAAAGAAAATATTTTATGTACATTGCTAGTACCATGTTAGGTAATGGTGTTATTAGTCTACATTACTAACAAACTAGCTAAACCTCGCAACTTCGTCTGCTTTTCATTTCCCCACCATATACAATATTTTTCATTGCAGCTCCGCTCCTATTGGTCGTAGCGTAATGTTATATAGCTTAAAGCCTTCCTCGACGAATGGACTATCCAACACAAAAATAATTTTTCAATTCGAACCAGTACTTCCTGAGATTAGCGTGTTCAGACAAACAAACTCTTCAGCTTTATAATATTAGTATAGATATATAAGTTACTAGCTGTACACGCTGGACTTCGTCCGCGTTGAATTTAAAGTTTTTTTTCTTAAATAAAAGTAGCCTAGGTTATTTCTTATTACATCAGCTACCTGTCAAAAAAAGTCAAAATCGGACCAGCCATTTCAGAGATTAGCCGGAACAAACAGACAGACAGACGGACAAAAATTGTAAAAAATGTTATTTTGCTGTATTTACCATATTTATATTCATATGCATGTAGTAAAAACGGTTATTTCAATATTACAAACAGACACTCCAATTTTATTTATATGTATAGACAACTTAGAATGTGTAATAACATGTTTTTAAAAACTTAGAACTTAGGATGTAGACCGCTAACAACATGTTATGTACAGAACACCGTTATCAGGCGGGATATGGCTTATCAGGCAGCGGCAAACAAGTATTACTTACAATAACATCAACTTATATTAAAATACCTATTAAACGATCTATAAATAGGTACTTAATATATGTATTGAAATAGTCTGTTTATAAACACATTTATATATAGCTGCGCACGTGACTTTGTAGACGTATTATTCAGAAATATATAACTACATCTTCTTTCTAATCTTATTATTATTATGACAAACTCGAAAGTTTGTATGTTTATTACTCTGTCGCGTATGTTAGCTTCCATGTATAGAGAACGTAATTTATTACTTATCTATATTTTAAATTTAAAACCATAGAGTAACGTGTGTATGTAAAACCATAGAGTAACGTAAGTATTATTGTGATGTTGGTCGCGTCACTATAAGGCACCACCAACATGCAGAAAAAGGAAGGAACGGAATTCTTGTTTGAAGACACCGAATTAATGATAATAATAATAATATCTCAGGACAATTCACACAGCGCCATCTAGTCCCAAGCTAAATAGAGCTTGTGTTATGGGTACTAGACAACATGCATAAATACATGGATTTTTTTTTGTAAATAAATACATATTATACATAGAAAACACCCAGACCGATACAAACAATTATACTCATGACACACAATGATAACAGATATATTCTATTCTCGGTATAAACAATTGGTATACGTGAGTTGTGCAATACCTGGAATTGGAGAACTAAATAAAACACATCTGCATCGAGCTATTATTTCAAATCTTCCCAATACGTAAAACCGAACCGATTATCATGAAATTTTGCACACATATTCTTGGAGGTATTAAACAGAAAAACGAAAAATATTTGTATCAGTTGTCTAGTACTCATAACACAAGCTTTAGCTAGCTTAACTTGGGTCTAGATGGCGCTGTGTGAATTGTCCTGAGATTATTATTATTATTGTACTGTATTTTAATATTAATTTAACATATTTGTATCAGTTATCTAGTACACATAACACAAGCTTTAGCTAGCTTAACTTGGGTCTAGATGGCGCTGTGTGAATTGTCCTAAGATTATTATTACAACACTTCTATTAAATGCTTTAGATTTCATATTTATTTATTTGCCATGTAAAACAGGTTACATTTAGCCCGTTAGTTACAAAATTATAATTATATATTATTTTTTGCACTTATATATAGTAAGAAACAATATATTTGTAAATAAAAATGTGAGCAAGGGTGGGTTATCTCTGAAAGAGATCTCTTCCAGCCAACCCAACGCTGTGACAATGGACATATATCGCGGATACTGATAGTGCAAGAGTTCTAAATACACAAATAGAATATTACTATGTATGTACTATGTACAGTTAATAAATCTACATATTATAATACATATATAAAACGATACTATACTAAATATATTAAAGCAAATATATATGACTATATAAATACATAACATAAGTCAATATTAAACTTTAACATTGAGATTAGGGTTCATGACTTCTCCAGCTTTTCAATTTCTCGGGTCTCGAGAATTCTCGAGATTAATTCTTGGGTTGTCGAGAAATTTACATTTACGTACGTTTTCTTATATTATTTGCTTCCAATAACGTAAACAAACTCAGTGGTTTCATTTGAGAGGAAAACCACTGCATTTTTTGTTAAATACTAAATATAAAATTTAACTATGAAATTAATTATGAAACTTTTATTGATTAAATTAAATTGTTATATTTTGAAAAAAAAAATACTTCAGGTTACTTACTCCCTTACAAAACACCACTTTCATATGTTAGGATCTAATATTATTCAGACTTATATTTATAATGACAGCACCATTTTTGGCTGGTTATTTATTAGAAAAAATTACCTTAAACTTGTAAATAAAAATAGTTTCTGTAAAATAAAAAAAAAATACATTAAAGAAAACCTTAATCTTGAATTATTGCGCCGCCACACAACAAAACAAACGGCAATTTAATTTCTATATAGGTACTTGATTTCTCGAGTTCTCGACTTTTCTCGAGTTCTCGACTTTTCCCGAACTTGACTTCCCGGGAACAAAACCCAACGATTTAAAACCCCGGGAATTCTCGACTCGAGAATTCCCGGGAATGAACCCTAATTGAGATATATTTAAATTTGATTTTTATATGTATTCATTAATAACATATTACGCCGACCAAAAATAAACGGGATAAGGAACAAGCAGATGATGATGTATCATTTACGTGATATAATTTATTATTAAAAAAAAAATACTTTAAAATTCTTCTAAATTTTAATATTGGTAAATCTGCTATATTTTTGGCAATCAATTTCTCGCACGGGTGTACATGTATTACACATATAAACCTTCCTCTTGAATCACTCTATCTATTAAAAAAACCGCTTCAAAATCCGTTGCGTAGTTCTAAAGATTTAAGCATACATAGGGACGGACAGATAGCGACAGCGACTTCGTTTTACACTATGTAATGATTATCATTAAAAAAAATAACAGATAACTTTGTATAAAGTGTATTTATAGTTGTTTGTAACAATGGTGACTCATAATATGACCCACCTATTCTATTCTATTATAACACATTCAAGGTGAAAGGGTTTAAATTGCGAGTGATAACGTTCGATTATGCAATAGTAGGTACACTGATAAGTTGCAAAATATGTTTGTTTACAAACAATATCTACTACTCATATACATATAATAGTCATCTATACATCTATACATATAAATAAAATTGGAGTGTCCGTTTGTAATATTGAAATAACCGTTTTTTACTACATGCATAGGAATATATACGGTACATACACCAAAATAACATTTTTGTCCGGGCTAATGGGGCTCTGAAATGACTGGACCGATTTTGACGGGACTTTTTTTGGCAGGCAGCTGGTGTTATAAGGAGTAACTTAGGCTACTATTATTTTAGAAAAATTCTCTAATTAACTTTTTTGTTAAATTCCACGCGGAGGAAGTCGTGATTACAGCTCATTCATTCATAATTTAAGAGCTACGCTCTTGTCGGTGGAGCTCTTGCCACTTTCCGCTATCTTCCATCATGCTCTTTAATTCTTGATACGACACGACTCCCATTTTGTCCTCAATTTGTTTGATGTAGCTATTCCTTGGTCTTCCCCTCCCCCTCTTTCCTTCTATTTTCCCCTCAATAATAATTTTCATGAAATCATCGTGCCGTATCAAGTGCCCTAACATTTTTCCTCGTCTCTTTTCTATGGTGTTCAATATTTGTCTTTTTTCTTTTACCCTGTGTAGTACTTCTTCGTTTCTTACTTTATCCTTCCAGCTAATTCTTTCCATCCTCCTCCAACACCACATTTCAAAAGCCTCCAGTTTGTCTCTTTCCTTTTGATTTAATGTCCACGTCTCACACGCATACAAGGCTATACTCCAGATATAGGTTTTAATAAATCGTTTCCGTGAGGTCTTTGATATTTTAGCGCGTAAAAGGTATTTTTTGTTGTTAAATGCTTTTTTTGCCATGGCTATTCTTGTTATAATATCTGTGGTACATCTGGAGTCGCTGGTGATTAAACTGCCTAGATATTTGAATGTGTCTACCTGCTCGAACTGTGTTTTGTTATTTCTTGGATTATTTTTATTACGGGTCTTGACTTTTGTTATTCTCATTGATTTAGTTTTCTTTATATTTATTTTGAGCCCATATGATTTAAAAATGGTATTCATAGTTTCTAAAAGTGTTTGTAGTTGTGTGTAGTCTTCTGCTAATGCAGCTATATCATCAGCAAACCTAATAAAATGTAGCTTTTGACCATTTATTTTAATCCCCCCTTTGTTTAATTCGACTATTTCTTTTATTGCAGCTTCTATAAAAATATTGAATATTAGTGGTGAGAGTGGAC